CTTTCCCATATTGAACCTAGGAGTTTTGTCAACTCCAAGACTAACGCTGAGCCTCCATCCTTAAAGTCTGATGAGAACAGCCCATCTGGGCCAGAGGCCTTATGCCTTTTGAGATACCTCTTCCCGATAAACCTCCGTTTCAGATAGAGGACTAGCATCAACCGGGAGTATTTGCCCATATACTTCTCTGGCACTCCGTTCCTGAACAAACGGTTCCGTAGCGCGGTTCTATCGACAGAGTCGAAGGCCGCACGGATGTCTAAGACCACAATGATTATTGGTCTTTGGTAGACATGACGGTGCTCTAGCAGCTGTCGGAGGGTGAGGATTTGATCGATGCACCCACAACCGGCGCGAAACCCAACATACTCCTCGCGCGTCTGCTCCCTTGCCTTGTGTACAACCGGCGGCGAATGGCGGACGCCAACAGCTTTCACTCTTTTGGGATCAGGCTCATACCTCTCTGATTGGCACAGTCACCGCGCTGGTCGGTTTTGAAGATGGGGACACCATTCGGAAACGTGCTCAGTGTAGAAAATAGAACCTGTAGTTCTCGAATAACCAGTACTCCACCATCTTTAAATAGAGCTGGGGGAAGGCCATCGTAGCCCGGCGCTTTCAAGGCTTAAATATCCTTAAGGATTTTCGCCTCAGAAGATGGGTCTGTTGAGATAGACCATCGTATGTAAGCCGGAATCGCTATGTGAAGTGCTGACTCTGATGGACATCTATTTTGTGTCTCAAAATACTCCCTCCAGCATGCTAGGTGTCGCTATTGATGGAATGGACGAGCCGTCTGCTTCGTAGATCGTTTCACTTACCCTCAAGGCTTTCCTACCGGTGACCCCGATTAGATGGAACTGCTTAGGAGAATTACCCACCGCAGCAGCACGTTTCATCTCTGATACGCGTTGAGTCCACCAGATTTCGCGGGCTCTGCGTAAGCATACGTTCACGTTCGTTAGGAGTCGTATTGCATTGGCTGTCCACCCAAATAAAGGAGTCAAGTCAGGTCGGCATCAGGATAAAAATAGGAAAATCTTGGAAACAAAGGTTGCAAAAATATTGAATAACTGCACGAACGGCACTGTTTTCAATATTCAGCCACATCTTTCGGTGTATCTAACCGATGATTACAGTAATCCTGATGTCCCCATTCACGAAGTCTAACGAAACCTTTGTATCTCTTATTTGTCGTGTTGTGGATGACCTGGATTAGCATACGTGTCGTGTATTTGAAGATCCGAAACTTTTCTGCCTAATTGTTGACACACGTCATCCGCTGCTGCCAATTTGTGGTGCCTGTTGAAATTTTACCATTGTTTTATTTTTGTTCCTTATTTGACTAAAAAAGACAGCATGCACATTTTCTTCTTTTTTTCATTTCACTTCCTTTTTATTGAATATACAAAGACAATTTTCAGGGATGTGGAAGCGGCCAATTAAAGGACTGCTATTCAACGCACAATGGGGAAAGTCAGGCGATGGGGTGGGATTCGAACACACATTTGTAGAGTAATCCTCCTGGATACCTTATGAAAATGTTTGTGATTCCTTTCTCCTCAATACTTTTAAGGTAATTTTGTTAGTACTACTGTCTTCAGCTTATTGCCATATTTTAAAATCATTTGGCTCATTGTAATCCGTATGGTGGTTCTGACTGCTCTTTTCAGGGGATTCATGATGACTACTTCGGTTGATTTATTGAGCAGTATTGAAAAGCTCTCCTCAGAAGGTGGAGAACTCAAAGAGTACGAATGTTTGATCGCAACATTGGCAAATCTCCGTTCAACTGAACTAAAGGAACTGATTCCGCAATGCGACATATTGAAGCTTTTCAGTTCAATGGATTTACATCAAGAGTGAGCTAGTCCCATCGCAAAACTAATCTGTTATTTAGGCGCGTAATGGAAGTCGCGTTACGTTTAGCGGCGACTCTATTTTCTGTTGTACCTCTGGTCGAACTTGTAGAGCATCATCAGGCGGAGATTTTGCAAGCACTAAACTCAAATCGTGTTGCGCTAGTTTGTTTCGTTCTCAATAAGGTAATTACGATAATTTCACTGCTTTCTTCCTGTAGCTAGTTGATGGGTTACACGAAACTAGTCTATCAGCTGATTGTATTCCTGATGCCATCCTCAATGATATTCTATCATTGGTTCTTCATGAGGAGCTTCGCATCTCACAGGTGGCTTCCCAATTTCTTTCCGTAATGGGTAAGTTTGCAGGTCGCAGTATTTCTTACTAGATCTTTAGCTCTAGAATTATGCGGTGGTCTTGAAAGGCTACTTAGTTATCTCAAGTCAAAAGCCCCGCCAACACTTTACCCGAAGGCAGAACATGTACTTCGTATTTCCGAAGTAAGCAACAAACAATAAATCTACTCTTTTTTCTTAGCTGGTCGTTAAGTTAGCTGTTACAGAACCCTCCAAGTTTTCTCTCATCGAAGATTCCCAGTTGTTGCAACCTGTTTTGGACGGACTGCTTGTTGAAGATCCTCTCACGAACCTGAATTTTCTACAGATTGCTAAAGCACTATCCAGTGTACCACTGGCCTACGACTGGCTCGATAGTCGCGGTGTCTTTAGAAACTTATTAAATCGGCTCCTTTCGATGGATTCGGATGGTTTCCGAAACTTAATACTTCCAGGTAAATTTCAGTTCTTATTTTACGGAAGGATTCGTGATAGTAATCAGAGCAAAAGTTATTGGAGGACACATTGTCTTTGAATATTTCCTTCTCAGTTCGCTTGATATGTATTTGAAAGCAAAGTGACGAACTATTTTATTACCTTCCAATCTGCGGCAAGATTATGTAGGCTAAAGTGAGAATAAATGAGGGATAGAGGAACTAATCATGAGTTTCGTTCATTCGAAAAATGGTAAGAGTTATTTGGTGAGATCAAGCAGCCTAGGCCAAGTAATGATATAAGTGTTGGGACGAAAATCATTGCTATTCGTCCCAAGATAAGCCTGGCTGCATATTTGCTAATTCTGTGGAAAAAATCGAACAAATTTGCAACACATTCGACTCTAATTATGGTCATCTCGAATCAATACTAATCTCACGGAGATTAATCAATAATATTGCGTCTTACAGCAATATTCACTGTCTGATCCGTGGCCTATAACCGGTTGAACTTTGCTCACTGTCTACTTGATTGGTGCAATCTTTTTCTGACATTGACATTTTGAGTCACATATGAGCATCAGAGGAAAACTTGTAAACGGACTTGTGACTTCTGTGCAAGACCATTAAAAAACCGTGCTGCTGAAGCTGTGCCTTCTCTCGTGTTTTGGGAGGCCTGAGAGATCGATAGCCGACTGTGCGTCCTGTGTTTCGCCTAGGTAGCTTCCGCTCCTAGAAGTATCATTCGTTAACGGACTTAGTGCTAGTCCTCTGTTCTCGTGTTCCCGTGGGCTGCTAGTGCTACTGTGTTATATCTTGTGTTCTTTGCACTTGTGGTGTTCACCTGTGTGACGTAATAGTAGGCAACGGGTATAAGCAGTGTAAAACATAACAATACGGGATTGAGGATTATCATTAGATGACTTGAACTGTCCGAGCGCACCGTTTCTTCCCATCATTTTATTGCAGAAATATGAAAGTAATCGCTTCAATACGAAGTTATCATAAACATGTTTGGGACTTGTGTTCAAATTTTAACTCAGCCCTAACAGCCACCGAAAGTGTTAGTTTTAATAATTGAACCGTGCATCCAGTTGTGGTACATCACCTGATCTAGGCTAATGATTAATATTTCATGTCCCGACGTGGTACGCAGCACACAAGTGTACAAGTGTATAAAGTTCCATTTCGTGTTTATAAGAACTGAAAATCCACGTTTTGATACTCAGTCCAGGTGATAATGGGCGATAAATTAAGGTCCAAGTTGCGTTTTGCACAGCTGGTACAAATCAAGTGGTAACCTTGAACGATAAGCTAATTGCATCATAATCATCTTCGTACAGCGAAATACCGTGAAGCGAACTTCACTGACCGCTGCCAAGGTCACAATGCATACAAGGTTAGTGGTACAATTTAAGGTGGACAGGGGTTGGATCTATTTTGAGGAAGGGAGAGGAAGATGAGCCACTGGTCAACACACAGACGCAATCGAACTCTGCATACATACCGTTTCAAGCATTCTGACCTGATAA